TGCTTGATCAATTTGACTGTTAAAACTTGTGCATAGTTCACGAAGTTCTTGTATTGTGTTTTTTAATCTCCATTAATTCACTTATATTCCTCTCTAAATTGTCTATTCGCGTTAGCATTTCATCAAACCTTTTTTCAAGGTTCTTAGGTTCTTTGCATTGGGTTAGAACATGTTCTTTTAGCTCACAGAAGTTTCTTATTATCCACCTTCTGAAGCCTGACTCTGACAATTCATCACACTCATTCTCTATCAGGCCTTGTTCCCTTGCTGATGAGGAGCTGTAATCCCCTGAAGGAGGAGAGGCATTCTGGTTTCAGATGTTTTCAGCCTTTTTGCGCTGGTTTCTTCCCATCTTTGTGGATTTATCCACCTGTCGTCTTTGTAATTGCTGACTTTCAGATTGGGTCTCTGAGGGGACATCCAGCTTGTTGATGGTGATGTTATTTCTGTTTCTTTGTTTTACTTCGGTGGACGCCCTCCGCCACAGAGCTGGACCTTCTGGGGTTCAGCTGTGCTTGCTGTGAAACTGTCAGCCGTCAGCATTTCCAATTGCTGTTTCCTTGTGGGGGTGGGACCAGCTGAGCCTGATCACCTGGCTCTCCGCCTCAGAGTTCCCTTTTTTTCTTTTCCTAATTGAACAATCAATTCTCTCCCAGGTGCCCCAGTCACCCACCGAAAAGGCGCCGGGATCTATGCAATTTCCCGTGCAGTGACCACGCTGGCTGAAACAGTGGCATTGAGATTCGTGGCGCGTTTCTGCCCGGGAATCTTCCGGTCTGGCTCCCAGCTTCAGTCCCCTTTTCAATCAGCTGGATGGGTGACTCTGCCCTCCCAGAGCTCCAAACACCAACCAAAAGGCACCCAGTCCCTCATACTCCGCACTGAGAACCACTGTGCAGGGACACCAGCAAAACAGCTGCACCAGCCAAAAGAGTTGCGCTAGTGATCCGTGGGGCTCCTCCGCTGGGAATCTCCTGGTCTGTAGGCAACAAAAATTCATCTGGAAGTCTGGCGTCCACTCACTCCCTGTGCCTTCACTGGGAGCTGCAATCCTGAGCTGCTGCTAGTCAGCCATCTTGGATCTCTCTCTCCACCTGAGGTTCTTGAAGGTCCTGTCCTGTGCTGACGTGCCTGCTGACATTCCTGCATGGTTAATTGATTCTGTCATTTCTAATTGTGAGCTCATATCAGTGAAGCTCACTCTGTAATTATGCTGTGTGGTGTGAATTAAGAGTGTGTCCCCACAAAGCAGTTTGTTTCTGCTAGACACCCAGGGAAATTACCAGCCTAGACCACGTTGGCTCATTGCTCAGCCGGACGGGTTGGTAGCTCTTAGACTCTGCAGGTAAAGTAAATGCAAGCCCCACCCCTACCTTAGGGCAGGTGAACAGATTCCTTTCTTCCCACCCAAAGCCTGAGTCACAGCATAGCAAATATGCTTCTGTGCCACCTGCCCTAATGGGCAGATTGTTCTTCAAATCTGTCCTTTTGTAGAAGATGCAGCACTCTGTGGGTTCTGACCTTATATACATGTTTTCAGCTCCATGTTTCTACCATGAGAAGGCCCAACACGATGCTCTTTTCCCAGCATGGAAATTAAAATCTAAACCCCTTGGTTAGAAAGATAAGCAAATCTCCCAAGGC